TTGTCTTTAGTCAATGTTCGTGTGCTGGTTTTCCAGGGACTGCAAAGGCATTGTTTGTGCAGTTTATTCCGAGCAAAACCAAAGTACATTTGATTACGTGAACTGTATCACAAAACCAACGATCACTGGTCCAGACTTTTAATACAACTGCCAAGTTAACAAAGTTTAATCTGTTATCAGGTGGAAAAGTCCAACTTAATGTCAAAGACTTGGCTCGCCCGTAATGCTGGCATATCTGAGCCACAAACCGCTGTTTAAAATGTTGTGTAACTGCGTGCACGCTTTGTGCACGTCACAGAACTGCATAAAAACGAACCTCAGTTCTAGTTCGGGGGCTTTCAGCGATGGCTGTCTGTGTGCATTGAAGTTGACAATGTAATAAAGGCCCCAGCCCTGTTTTATAAGATTTCTGGCTCCAACTCTACCTTTTCTAAAACCATCTTATCCTCTACAACACACCTTGCTACAAAGATGCTGATGAGCATTTTGATGTTTCTTGATTATAGGAAAAGTTATGTTTTGTCCAATACTGGCAGATTTGGCTTCTCACTACGTTTACATGTAATCCGAATGAATGCCCTATCAGATCAAAATTCTTCCTGTAAACACGTCAATGGGAATATTCTGATACGATATGGAACAGGTACAAAAGTTCCATCCATCCATTTTCAGCCGCTTATCCGGAGTCGGGTCGCGGGGGCAGCAGCTAAGGCAACACGTTCTCACACCCTAAACGTAGAAAAATGATGCTGTGTGACCAAGCGTCACAATATGACGGGCAGGGTGCCTCAGTGCGTCGGGAGAGGATGTGCTGTGCCAGAGCGTCGGTATCCGACGCCCGCTGTAAGATGGACATTTGACCGATTTGTGACCTTTACCCTCTTGCTATTTAACCTTCCCCTCACCCCCATCCTAACCTTAACCACTTTGTTTCGCGTTTCATCGTTCCCCTCAAACATGCTTAATTGTAAATGTGCACAGACAATTGGGTTAAGGTTAGGATGGGGTGAGGGGAAGGTTAAATCGCTAGAGGTTAGAGGTGAAATGTTGGTTAAATGTCCGTCTCGCCGCGGGCGTCGGATACGGACACTGAGCGTGTCCCTGCGAGTCCTCTCCCGACGCGCTGGGGCACCCTGCCCGTCATATTGTGACGCTTGGTCACACCGCGTCATTTTTCGACGCTTAGGGTGTGAGAACGTGTTGGCTTAAGCCGAGAAGCCCAGACTTCCCTCTCCCCAGCTACTTGGACCAGCTCTTCCGGGGGAATCCCAAGGTGTTCCCTGGCCAGCAATATCGGCATTGGCCGAGGCTAGTCATTTTTGAACACATCGGTCCGATAAGTAAAACTGGGCTGAAATTACCAGCCAATATTTGTTCCAGCTTGTTTCTGTTTGTGTATCTGTTTCAGAGGGTTAGGGGCGCGATGATGTGTAATGGTTCAGTCCTGTGACAGTGATGGTAATCATCTCAGAAGCATAAATGTGTGTGGTGTGTTGCAAATTCCACTTTATAAAAAAAAGGAAAACATTCAAAATTTCAGCTTGCATCATTTCAGTCTATAGAAAATTTGCTGATGTCAGAAGCATAAATCAGTATCCGCAAATATCGGCTATCGGCCATAACAGTGGTATTAATATCGGATATCGGTATCTGACCAAATAATTCATGTCGGTGCATCCCTAATAAATATGTTAATTTATATTTGAGAACATTATCTCATGTCCAGGTGAAACTGGTATTGTTTCATGAGTATTGATTTTCTCAATAAAAGGAAGTTGAAACATTGACGTAATCTGCTTTTAGTTAAGACTAGATCGGTATCGGCAAGTTAGGTTTTTCTCAAGATTGGTGATCGGCCAAAAACTGCAATCGGTGCACCCCTAAAACAGATTTGGGATTTGGGATCAACCAAGATTTGAAACGGATAGGGGAAATTTGACGCATGTAACCGTAGCCACTGTCATCATGCAACTTGATGTTGTCATTTAAAGCACAATAACTGCCTCTATCTCTGTTTTTAACAATCTGATGACACATAGCTCGTGTAAGATGGCGACGACACGAGGGAGCGTGTAAATAAAAAAGGTAGTTTTAGTATCAATCATGTGGCTCTACCTCACTTGTAATTACGCCTGTGAGAGCACATCTAGTCCTTGTGGATCTGAGAAAAGATGAAGTTAATGGAGATGTGAGTGAGAGAGATGCTGTGGAAGGACGAGGCGTAAACTCCACAAGGCAAATGGAAAACAGGAAGGAGATGAGGAGAGGAAGCAGAGAGGGTAATAGAGGCAGAGAAACAGAAATCATTGCATTACATCGCAGCACAAGCGTGAACACAGACAGAAGAGTGGTGGGGCAAAGTGAAAGGCATCGTCTAACAAGCTAACTCCGTATTAGCTCTTTACATGACCATTACATGAGCACTAGAGTGTGTGTTTCTGGTCAGTAGTCTTAGATTAACAGGGGTTCGTTGTCTTTTACCTGATTAAAAGGCACACGAGGCCGCTTCATTTTGAAATTAATACAAATGTTTAAATGTATATTTGGGCCCACTTCTGTCACATTTCACCAAATATATAATGACTAGTAGTTGATGTAGTTGAACTACTTGGTAAATGACAGTCAGCTGCGAGTGAAACTCACAAGAGCGGACCAAAGCTCTGGCCTAAACGCACACGGCACACCTCAGAGATGTGAGGTCATTTATCAGTCACCAACCTTTTAAATCCTCTCTGATCTACTGCTCTGGTCTCGACTCACTCCTCATTTTCTTACGTTTTTTTCTAAAGAATTATGATCTGTAGTTGAAAGAGGACCCGAGAAATCCATCATCTATTCTTGTTCTTCACCGAGTTGCTACAAATGTTAAATGCAGACATAATTCTGGGTTTCATGTAGCAAGAAACGATCAGTTTGTTCTAGAGAATGTTTGAGACGCACACATAGTCTTGTTTACACCCACTGGCTCTTTATTAGGTGCACTTGCCGGCGTTCAGGCACCTAGAAGAGAAAATGCGTCGCTGAAGTTCACACAGCATCAGAAGAGAAAAGAAAGGTGATTGAAGTGGTACTTGGTACCTGATGGGCTGGAATTTTACCCACAACCATCTCTAATTTACAAGAAAGACATCATAAAAATAAAATAATCCAATGTGTGACAGTTGTGTTGATAAAAACTATATTGCTGCTGTCAGAGGACGATAGTCTGATAGCTCAAAAGCCCACTGGTTCCTCCTGAGGTCTACAGAACAGATGGACTCCAGCAGCAGAAGATCACACCAGGTGTCTCTCCCGTCACCAAGCCCCCACAATGCGGCTGAAAAATTGAAACCAACGCGGAAATGAAATAAATTGCAGTTCCACCCTCATCCACTAGGGGCTGGTGTCAGAAGCGAGCAAATCCTCATTGACTCCCATGTTAAAAATACCAATTTCACAGCAGAAATAAACATGTTTACAGCCTGGGACCAAAACATGTTTTTGGTTTAAATGATCTAGTTTACACTCATGACAACTCTGAGGGGGGTGAATTTTTTTCTCACTCTTCTGTTTAAGTGTATTAAAAGCCTAAAATTCTGTATAATTAATGAGCATCAGACCCACGTGACCACAGAGCTAGCTCTGGGGAAAGGCCTCAGTAGAGCCTCGGTCTGGCCTGGAAACTGTTCTGTCATTTTCAGTCTCTCAACTTAGACCATTAGTTGTAGCGTTTGTGCGTTCTTTTTGGATATTACTTGTGCAATTGTTGGACAAAATGACTTGCTGTGGCATTAATTGCACTAATAGAGTGTCCAAGGAGTCTCCACTTCATTTTTTTCGGTAAGTAAAATTATATTTATGTATTTTAGGTCACTGCCGAGCTGAGCTTAGATTTTAACCATGAAATTTAAATGTAATAGGGTAAAACCCAGTGCATTTAACATAATGCTGCAGTTGGGTTGAAGTATAACATGTTGGTGGAGCTGGGTTCCGACTATCAGCTTGTGGAGCTCTCGGGAGACCGATGTTTTCCACCCGGTTTTACCCAGCGGTCAGCCCGGCGTATCTCTGACTCAGAAGCTCTGGTGTTGTGCACAGTTAACTCCGGTTGTAGCTAGGTTGCTACCTCCGTTAGCTTAGCTCCCACCTCCGCGTTAGCTTTGGGTTAGCTTCAGGTTAGCTTGTAGCTAGTTCGACCGGGTGTCGTTAGTTGATCCCAGCCTTACAGCCCCACCCTCAGCTCTACCTCTCTTCCCTGTTTTGGAATTGTCTGGGCTTGACGGAACCTGTGAAGCGGTCAAAATGGCGGTGGTGGCCACCTCCCATTTTTCTTCAAAAACGTGTTATTGGAGTCTATGGAAACCCATTGTCCAATATTTATATGTCGATGCCTGTCACACAGGATCACCAGAACCGGCCCAGGAGGGACTGACCTCTTCATCATCTCTACCTGGTTTCTAGAACAGAACGGTGAGTGGACTGTACTCCAGGGGCCTTGGATCAGAAGGTCGACATCATGAATCTGTGACATGTGTCAATGTTTTGATGAAACAGAAGCTACTACTGCGATTTACTTTCAGAAGATGAAGAGAGCTTTGGCTTTTCGGTGAGAAAGGATCCCTCCTGCTGCCTGATATAAATCCCTGAGAACATACATGGAAAAGCGGGGGAGGTGCCATCCTGTGATTTCACACACGTTACGTGAATGTAAGGTTGGCGTGATGTAACCCTCCAGGGGTCCAGAGGCGGCAGCTGAAGACCTGCTACCATCCTCAAAGCAGACATCAGGACTGTGGCGTTTCTGAAGCACGTTCACAAGAAAGGAGGAAAACAACAACCAGAGTAAACAGCTTCCCTGAGCTCGCGCTGGTTTCAACAGAAAAACGGATGAATGAATTAAGATCGTTGGGGTAAAGGTTCACGTGTAAAGGTGGGATGATGATGTTCGGGAACACCAACAGCGACACCGTAACTGGAGTTCTTTCTGGTGCTGGTGTAGCGGGCAGCTCGTCCTTCCTTACCTGCTCTCGTCCCGATCCTTCCTCCAAAATGGGCTCTTCTGCGGCCGCCGTCTCCTCCTCCGTCTGCATCCTCCCTCCGCTTGCCACTCCTTCCTCCACCTCACAGCCGGGCACGAAAGGCGGCTCCCACCCAGCAGGTACCGTCCGAAGGCAGGGACCTCCCCGGCGGAGCAGGGAGCACGGTCACCCCATCCGCCGCAAGTCGGTATCCAATTTCACGATGATGGCGACGCCTGCGGCAGAAGCAGCATCTACCGCTGCTGCTGGTGTTGGGAGCTGCAGCGGTGTCCTTCCCGCGTCTCCTCCTCCCGCCGGCCCGCTCACGGTTTGTGTCGTACCGGTGGTCGGTGCAGCACCGGCTCCATCCTCCTACTCGGCTCTCCGGTCAGGAACAAAACAAAAGGTGACACAGAGCATCCCCAAAGTCGCAGCCGTTAACGCTCCCGCCGCCTCTCGTGCTGCTGAATGATGAGAGCGTGCGCTGTGGCACGTGACCCACAGAACTGGACACGAGCCAAAGATTTCTACCGCCTGACATTAGTTACTTGGTGAGGTAAAGATGGTAGAAAACAACAAAATAACGCAGTTGGGTTTCCCGCTGACGTCATACACAATAAACCACACCCCTTTTATACTCTATGTAATCTAGATCAGTCACACAAAGACGCCCCCAAAGGGTGGCCACCTAGAAAATTGTTGCCCCCCCCCCCCCCCCCCCAAGGAAAAGCCGGTATTAATGAATCAAATTAATGTTCTCTCAAGCGATAAATTAATCTTATTTATTCAAGACAAATGTGAAACACAATAACAATTAATGAGTAAAGAAAAAATCTGAATAAAAATACATGTTTCTGCTTCTCACCATTAGAAAAAAGTTTTTATTTCCATATTTTTTGTGAATACAGCAACAGGTGACCCCATATGGCCACCCTTATCAAAATTTTCTGGAGGCGCCCATGCAGCTACAATATAAACACACACACACACATATATATATATATATATATATATATATATATATATATATATATATATATATTGCTGATGTTACAACATTCCCTTCTCTGATGGACAATAAAGAAACTTTCTATTCTAGATCTGAATTTTACAGAAGTGGTAATACGCTAACTTGTATTTTGTAAGAATACTATTAAATAATCAATTTATCAGGGGACAAAATACATTTTAGCACTTTAATTCTGTATTTAATACTAAATTTAACTACATTTGAAAATATTTCTTAAAGAATTATTACACATCAAAACTGATCTTCATAAAGTCGATGCCACATAAATAAATGATCTAACTTCCTTTCAAACATTTACGCATTTGTTTAAATCATTTATATATAAATATGTCTGACAACAAATATGAAAGGGAATGCATGCTGTTCTGTCTTTAAGACTTATTCTCTTAAGAGTTTAGATTTATTCTGAGTTGATAATTTACCTATTGCCAGAAGGCACAACTGGACAGATTTTACATGTTTGATAAAGTACTCAGGACATACACTTACAGTAGTGTGAAAAACTATTTGCCCCCTTCCTGATTTCTTATTCTTTTGCATGTTTGTCACACACAATGTTTCTGATCATCAAACACATTTAACCATTAGTAAAAGATAACACAAGTAAACACAAAATGCAGTTTTGAAATGGTGGTTTTTATTATTTAGGGAGACAACTAAATCCAAACCTACATTGCCCTGTGTGAAAAAGTAATTGCCCCCCTTGTTAAAAATAACCCATGTAGAGAAGATGTTCTTACATTTAATTAGAAACCATAGAATGTGAAATATCATGAAATATGAAATATCACCTCAATGGATCTTTGAGTAAATTTAACCAGAAGATCGGATCTTTTTATTGCAGGGATTGAGCAACACTTCGTATCAACTCCAAGAAAAAGAGAGAGAGAGAGAGTCAGGTTTAAAAAGTTAAAAGATTTATTTCTAAACAAGTTAAACAAGACTAACTCTAAATACTATGTGATGATGAACTAGATGGAGTAAGACTGAGGATGGTGTATGTATGAATATGTTCAGAACCAGCAAATCCGGAGAAACGATTTGTTCTGATGGGAGTGAAATGGCGTTTCGCTCTAAGCTTTGGTTGAATATTATAACACACATTGAGACGCCATCTGTCGGTCTATGTACCCCAACGGAAGTCCCCGTTTAGATCAGGAGGTGTCGAGGTCCAGCTTGGATCTTGTCTGGAACCGAAGCCTGTAGCAAAGCCGCAGTTGCCGACTAGTCCCGTCTTGAGATACTCCCAGGTCACGACAGTTTATTGGCATCAGCGAGACCCTGAAGGGTCGTGATGGTTCAGCTTTTATTCTGAAGGAGCCGTTGCAGCAGGTGGAACATGCAACAGATTTAATCCAGCTTGTCGTTAGGTTCTTTCGGCTTTAAGAGGCCACTCCGACAACTCCACTAGAACGCTTTGAACTCCAGTTAAGATGACGTGGGGCATAGTTTTATAATTTGGATATTTTGATTTACTGTCGAATCAGACTTTGACAACAAAAGGGGATTTACCAAGCACCAACAAAACCACGCCTCGCGTCAGATCTGGAAGGTTCTGATTGGATCAGAAAAAGGAAATGTGTCATGTGATTTTAACATTACATGTGATCAGTCTAGTGTCTAGTTTAAAGTTATATTACTTATTATAACACTATCATCAAGTAATTAATATTCTCATTTCACAGATTGATTGAACATTGAGCTTTACATGATTATTTGGACTAACAGACGTTATTTAATTTCAGGACGCTCTCCCCTCTCTGACGATGCAGTCCCATGCGCGGTCCAATGTGTAAACTGTAAAGAGTGGGCAGCAGAGGGCGACAACGTCCTCTGCTGCCCGCGGATAAACTGAGAAGGAAGTGACGCCACCATCAGCGTCAGTCTGAGGAAGTCTGCAGCCGCAGACGAAATGTAGCGACAAAACAGGTAAACAAAACTGTTTCTGTGTTTTAAAAAGAACGACAGCATGGAGTTTTCAGGCTCTCAAAGGCAACAAAGCTGTGTGAGACACTCCATCTCACTCCTATTGCCTCCCCTCGTGCCCGTATCCCACCTCAGCACCTCACAGGAAGTGCTCCTGCACATGTGCATGAGTCCTCTTCTGAATACTACAGGACTGAGTTCTTTAAAGCTTTGGATGCTGCAGACATGCAGTTTAGTGAGAGATATGAGCAGGAAGGAATGCAAATGTTGAGGCATCTGGAACAAGTTCTCTTGACTGGACAGATGCACACGGTCATCCATCAGTACCAAGAAATAAGCCCAGACATCCTCAAAGTTCAGCTTGCACTGTTTAGAACAAAGTACAGCGTCCAGACTAGTACAGATGTTGTTGCTGTTCTTCAGGGAATGTTTCCAGAGGTTCGTGGTCTCTTTGACCAGATTGAAACAGTTGCCCGACTTCTAGTTGTGCCTGTTTCCTCAGCAGAGCCAGAAAGGAATTTCAGCAGCCTCAGGAGGCTGAAAACACGGCTACGCAGCACCATGACCCAAATTCGCCTAAACAGTGTTGGTGTGTGCCATGTCCACAAAGACAAGCTGGACAGGCTAAACAGAAAAAAGATTGCTGAACAGTTTGTCTCCTGCAAGGAAAGCAGAAAGAGCACATTTGGTTCTTTTAAATGAATTGAGGTGATGTTTCTTGTGTAAATGTAACAAACCATTTGATGGCATTGTTAAAATAAAAACAAATAACATGCCCACACTTTAATGGCTACATTCCTGTAACCGCAAGGTCTTTTTCATTACTTTTGGTCTCATTATAAAGGGAATTCTTGCTGGATTTGTTCAGATGTGTGAATATTAGAAAATGTGTTGCTGATGAAGTGTAAATGGACAAGGAACATTGTAAAAAAGTTGATTATTTTTCTTTTGATTATTTTGCCTGAAATGTTTGAAGTCCTCTTTGGAAAAATGCATCAGTAGTTTTAAATTTGACTGAATTCATAATTTTACATCTTGACATGAGCTGTACAAAGTCTGAGTTTGATAAAGTTAAGAACAACCATTTTCAGAGGTTTGTAATATATGCACACTTAAGGCGAGGTCTCAAATGCCACAGTGTGCCACTTGTAAAAGGAATAGTTTTTGTTGTCCAACTTTAAAATCAGCTTTGTTAACATTCGGTGACAAATAAAGTTTGTCGAAACCGCCCCGCCTCTACCCGAGTACACCTGTGCGCTGGTGGACTGGGCTGGAACTACACTTTATTCAGGAGAGTTTCTCCGGACCCCGCCGTTAGATTATTGAAGCCGTTCACGTTAGTTTGGAAACCTCTGAGCCTATAGAATCGCTTGCTTTTGATTTTTTTAGGCTAGTTTTTTGGGATTTGGCTAAAACAGCCACGAATCAGCTTTGTGTGATGTTGTGAAGACGGATTACACAAAAGGATTGGACTGTTTTTACTATAACATGGATTATGACCATGAATCAACAATGGTAAGACTGAATTTACACTTTTCACGTCATGAAATGAGCTGTGGTTCGTTAGCTGCTGGCTCTGTGAATTTTGCACGTAGAGTGCATAAATATTGTTGGAAAGAGAATAGCCTGGGCTTTCATTTAAACGGTGGATTCTGTGGGTAGGATATTGGATTTTCGCTACTGTTTTTCTCTAAATGCGTATTTAGTGTCTTTTTACGTCCTGATTTAACAGCTTATTGTTGAATTGGATATTGTTGATGGAGAAAACTCGGGTTCTGTTGTTTGGAAGATTAGTTCTTCACGTTCTGCATGTGTGCAGTTTATACATCTGTGAATATTAAGCATGTTTTTGGAAGGACTTTGTTACTGTGAAGCGGACCCGTTACTGGATTAAAGTTGAGTTTCAATTTACAACTGATGACATCCACAGACAACATCCCCCGCACTTTTGAAAAGCTTGCAACGCGCCTGCTCCTGGACGCCTCCCTGGGGAGGTGTTTCGGGTATGTCCTGCCAGCAGGAGGCCCCCGGGTCGACCCAGGACACGTTGAAGAGGTTACATCTCCAATCTGGTCCGGGAACGCCTTGGGGTCCTGCCGGTGGAGCTGGTGGAGGTGGCTGGGGAGAGGACGGTCTGGAGCTCCCTAGTTGGGATGCTGCCCCCGCGACTCGGACCCGGATAAGCGGAGGAAGACGACGACGACACATTCTCCTTAAATAACACGACACGCACCTTCTTTTAAAGGGTATGGAAGTATAACAAATATAGTGAAAAACACTCATGACAACTACAGTGTTAACATTTAAACTTTATTGAATTTAACCTTCATGCTGTGAAATGTGAACCAAGATGAGTCTGTAGCGGTGGTGCTGTAGTGTCCTGAAATGAACCAAAAACCCAGCTTGAGTCATTTCTGAACCTCTAACCTATCAAAGTCCAGTCTCTTCTGGAGCTGGACACTGACCAGTTTTTGCTGGAAGATTGGTCAGGAGCACGGTGGCTCGTCTGACCGATTTCCGGACCAACTGTGAGCCTGGATGGTCTTGGAGCCACTCTTTCTGTGTGCACTCATGCACTCCTCGTCATGTAGTTCCTCAGGGAGGATGAGTAGATTATGTAAGGAAGAGCATCACCATGTTTGCTCAGACTTAGATCTAAGGAAGGCTTGGAGGAACGTTATTTTCCCTCCTTCAAATTCATCAAGTCAGACCTGGATTCCTTCATGTTTTAGCGACACATTGGAACTACGTTAGCTCTTTCGTTATGTGGTTACGTGTTGAGAGGATATTAGCAGTGACGGGCAGGTAGAGACTGTCTGTTTCAGTGTGGATGACGATATCGTGGGAGAAGTAGGTCTTTGGTTCTGCTACATCCAGCTGAACGTCATGCATGGCAAACAGCTGGATGTGTAGTTCAGCATGCAAGCCTGCAGCCACCTGCATAAGCAACAGCATGTTTTGATGACCTAAATATTAAATGTAACACATGTCAAAAACATGAAACCACAGGAGACTCACAGGCCCAGGACTGTAGAGGACTCTGAGGCCTGTTGCAGGAGGAGGCGGTTTAACGAGGAACCTGAAAGCAAAACATCAGAATAAAACAAATGACTTCAGGGTGAAGTCGGTGGTGGCCAACCGACTGCTTCCTTCAGTTCAGACACGGATTCTTTCTTCTATTAAAGGATCATTGTAAATAACGGCTGAATCAATGATCAAATACATTTTTGACAATGTTGTCTCTTCTGAGCAGGGGCCGTTTTTTACTGAGCCACTTTGGACAAACGAAGGTCACTAAAGCTTGGTTTATGCTTGACGCATTCACTTCCCGCTTGGTGATGCGGCTCGCGGATGGAACGAGCTTCACAACTCGCAGCGTTTATGGTTCATGCGGCTTGTCTCTGCGGTGAGCCAATATTCTCCCAAACTGTAGGGGGCAGCATGGAGCTCTACGGCATGCATCCAACACTACACCATACAGGGAGTGCAGAATTGTTAGGCAAATGAGTATTTTGTCCACATCGTCCTCTTCATGCATGTTGTCTTACTCCAAGCTGTACAGGCTCAAAAGCCTACTACCAATTAACCCATTCGCTGCCAGCGTTTCTCACCGTTTTTACCATTTTTATTTTTTTTTTTACCGTGTCCTGTCTGGCTGTGAAGCAAGCAGAATTGATGTCTGAATGCTGGTGACAAGCCTCACAGATTTACTCAGGTGGAGCATCAAAGCGTCTGCTTTTAATGTTCCGCCTGATACTTAAAACTTTATTGTTATTGTTGTTGAATGCTTTGTAATTCCGACCAGACACGGAGACAGAGGTGAAAGAGAAAGCAAAAGAAAAGGTGGGGAGGGAGAAGGGGGGGGGGGTCCACAAAAATAAACAATAATGAACAAGAGTTTACCGTTTTTTTAAGAGTCACAGAACGTTGTGCGCTAGCATGATGTCGACGCCAAAACAACCAAAACAAAGAGGAGACTCACCTCTTACATCAGGAAGAAGCCGCGTGTTTCGAGCTTTATCCGTTCTTTCATAATCCGTTGTCGAATTGTGATCGGCAGACGCTTTTCCGGTTCGCGCCTCACTTTTTTTACGGGAACGGCCCAAAACGATCTCCTAACACATGGATGTGTTGCTTCCTGATCACGTAACGTGTGACGTATGCGGATGAAGATCGGCTTCAGGGCTGAGATGTTTGTTCTCTCAGTGCGGGGGCTCGTTCCGATGCTCAAACAGTAAAAAAATGCAATTGACGACTTTAGTCGTCATTGGCAGTGAATGAGTTAAGCATATTAGGTGATGTGCATCTCTGTAATGAGAAGGGGTGTGGTCTAATGACATCAACACCCTATATCAGGTGTGCATAATTATTAGGCAACTTCCTTTCCTTTGGCAAAATGGGTCAAAAGAAGGACTTGACAGGCTCAGAAAGGTCAAAAATAGTGAGATGTCTTGCAGAGGGATGCAGCAGTCTTAAAACTGCAAAGCTTCTGAAGCGTGATCATCGAACAATCAAGCGTTTCATTCAAAATAGTCAACAGGGTCGCAAGAAGCATGTGGGCAAACCAAGGTGCAAAATAACTGCCCATGAAGTGAGAAAAGTCAAGCGTGCAGCTGCCAAGATGCCACTTGCCACCAGTTTGGCCATATTTCAGAGCTGCAACATCACTGGAGTGCCCAAAAGCACAAGGTGTGCAATACTCAGAGACATGGCCAAGGTAAGAAAGGCTGAAAGACGACCACCACTGAACAAGACACACAAGCTGAAACGTCAAGACTGGGCCAAGAAACATCTCAAGACTGATTTTTCTAAGGTTTTATGGACTGATGAAATGAGAGTGAGTCTTGATGGGCCCGTGGCTGGATTGGTAAAGGGCAGAGAGCTCCAGTCCGACTCAGACGCCAGCAAGGTGGAGGTGGAGTACTGGTTTGGGCTGATATCATCAAAGATGAGCTTGTGGGGCCTTTTCAGGTTGAGGATGGAGTCAAGCTCGACTCCCAGTCCTACTGCCAGTTTCTGGAAGACACCTTCTTCAAGCAGTGGTACAGGAAGAAGTCTGCATCCTTCAAGAAAAACATGATGTTCATGCAGGACAATGCTCCATCACATGCGTCCAAGTACTCCACAGCGTGGCTGGCAAGAAAGGGTATAAAAGAAGAAAAACTAATGACATGGCCTCCTTGTTCACCTGATCTGAACCCCATTGAGAACCTGTGGTCCATCATCAAATGTGAGATTTACAAGGAGGGAAAACCGTACACCTCTCTGAACCGTGTCTGGGAGGCTGTGGTTGCTGCTGCATGCAATGTTGATGGTGAACAGATCAAAACACTGACAGAATCCATGGATGGCAGGCTTTTGAGTGTCCTTGCAAAGAAAGGTGGCTATATTGGTCGCTGATTTGGTTTTGTATTGTTTTTGAATGTCAGAAGTGTATATTTGGGAATGTGGAGATGTTATATTGGTTTCACTGGTAAAAATAAATAATTGAAATGGGTACATATTTGTTTTTTGTTAAGCTGCCTAATAATAATGCACAGTAATAGTCGCCTGCACACACAGATATCCCCCTAAAATAGCTAAAACTAAAAACAAACTAAAAACTACTTCCAAAAACATTCAGCTTTGATATTAATGAGTTTTTTGGGTTCATTGAGAACATGGTTGTTGTTCAATAATAAAATTATTCCTGAAAAATACAACTTGCCTAATAATTCTGCACTCCCTGTAGTAGAAGTAAAAATTACTGTTGTTTGCAACATGGCATTCCAGCATTTTTTAACAGCGTCCTCGTCTTTTCCGACAGTGCGAGCTATTTCTCTCCAAGAATTATTAACAACATGTTGATCACGGTGATCTCTGAGAGCTGAATCATACAAATGTCTGTATTTACGAACCTCTGCCATACTAGTTCTTGCCAGTCCGCCATGTTTTTCCGCGTCCGACCGTCTGCGTGGTTAGAAAATTTCCTAGATGCGCTGTGCGGAAAGTTTGGGCCGTGCGGAGGCGCGGTGGAGGGGCGTGGTTGTTAAAATGACGCAACTTTGCAGCGCCGAACTGTGCGAACCTCGCGGACGCGTCAAGCATAAACCAAGCTTCTGGGCGGTGATTCATCTGACTCGGTCATTAAAAAGGCCAAGGCTTCTAAACTACGATGAAACACACATACTTGTTCCATGGGAGTGCCACAAGGATCTATTATGAGGCTACTGCTTTTCAGATAGAACATTAATGGCTACTATGTGTGTGTGTGTGTGTGTGTGAGACTATGAATTAACTTAAGTCGAGTGTGAAAACGTTGACGTTTTTGGTTCTCAAACCGATTATTTCAATCAGTTCATCCAACTTAAGCTACGTTCACACTGCAGGCAAAAGTGCATTAAATCTGCTTTTTTCCCCACATGCAACCCATATCTGTTTTTTTATGACAATCTAAACGGCACAGATCCGACTTTTTTAAATACGAGCCGTGTCACTGGAATATGTGGTACTGATTCTGACACATATCTGATGTTTTTGAAAGCGACTGCGGTCTAAACGGTCATGTCGCCTTAAATCCGTCTCTGAGTCAGAGGAGGTGGGCGTCGTGTGTGGATGTTCCTGAGGAGAAGCGCTGACAGAAGGGTTCAGGAGTCTGTCTGACATCCTGTTTTAGGTTTAGGAATTACAAATACAAGAAATAATATGAACAGGCGCGGGAGGTGCTGCCGGAGCGAAGCGTTTCACCGGTCTCCGTGAGAGGGGGATTCTCTGTGAATGAATTAATACAGAAATCTTTTCGGTGAATAAAAGTTTACAGTTTTTAAAACAGTTTCCAGCCCAAAACGGAAGAATTAACAGGTGTGAAAGTTTTCACTAACAGCTTATTCACAGTATCAGGATTACATAACAACTCCGCCGCTCTGCGCATGCGGGTCGCTTTGGAGCCGCGGAGCGTTCACACTGGAGAGAGTCTGATGTCGCATTTCAGTCAGGGTGTGAACGGCCACACAAAATAATCGGATTTACTCAAAAAATCGGAATTGAGGGGTCTTGGCACACCTCTGTTTTGCTTGGCTTCCTGGGGCTGGAGGCTAGGAGGGAGATCCGGCCGTCTGGTTGGGGTCTGGGGTGGTGGGTTGCTGTGCTGAACGTTGGGCGGGGGAGCCTGCTCATCAGCACCCCAGCAGAAAGGGTCAAACTCTGGTTTCCGGTGATGGTTGTACCCCAATGTGCAGCAGTATCGGGACCAGAGTGAATGGGGTGTGTATGGGGAGCATGAGTGGGTGTCCGGCGTGCATTTTTGTAAGTCTTGGGTTGTATGTGTATGTGTGAGCATGAGGGAGGGAGTGTGTGACTGTGTTTGTGTATGACTGTATATGTCAGGTGGGGCCTTTGACTCCTCCCCTCTCCTGGGACTTCTTTTGATGATATAGATCTTCGACCCCCCTCCCCCGCCACACCTGGTGTGGGGTGTGGTGTCTTGGTCTGCCTGAGTGTTCGTGGCTCCCGGGTCAGGGGGTTTAAGATTTTTGGCGTCTGCCTGATTAGTCCCGGTGGCTGCCTGGTGGGGTCTGGGTCCCTGGGCTCTGCTGGGTCCCCAGCGGGGGTGGTCGCCCCTGGGTCCCGGGCTCGGCCGGCTAGGGGGTGGGAGGCTGCGGACGGGCCTGAGGGCTTGCCGCTGATGTCTCCCGGGACTCTACCGGCTGCTGTTTGTGGCCCCCCGGGGCGATCCTCTGTGCCTCTCGAGGGGGGCGGGGGCCTTTCTGGTTGCAGTCTCCTTGGGGTTCCTGTGTTCTGGGGCAGCGCCTGAATTTCTGGGACTTGGAGCTCCCCCTGTCTCCTACGCATCTTTGGGAGCAGATCTGTGGTCCCTCACACTCTATTGGACGCTCCTATAGATAAACCTTACATAAACAAGCGTGTGTACACACACAGGTGCTCACATGGTGCTCTCATAAGTATGGGCTTGGGCACGTTCAACACAGGTCTTAAGGCTGTCGTTGGCACTAAATGCACTGTGATTTATTATCGTGTGATTGTTCAGTTAAACAATGCTGATTGTATATTTCTTCAAGTTGATGCAGTGATAGCTTGATCTTGTTGTATTGTTGTTGTGTCCCTTTTTTTTTTGTCCTTTTGCTGTTTTTTTGTCTTTTTCTGCAGGTCTAGAAGCAGACCCCTTCCCCCCTCTCCTCCCACCTTTTGTCTTTTCCTTTCTCTTTCACCTCTGACTCCGTGTCTGGTCGGAATTACAAAGCATTCAAAAACAATAACAATAAAGTTTTAAGTATCAGGCGTGACATTAAAAGCAGACGCTTTGATGCTCCACCTGAGAGTAAATCTGTGAGGCTTGTCACCAGCATTCAGACATCAATTCTGCTTGCTTCACAGCCAGACAGGACACGGAAATAAATAAATAAATAAAATAATCGGAATTGAGCACCAAGGCCTGCAGTGTGAACGTAGCCTTTTAGTGTCTTTGTTATGAGCTAAAAGGGGCGGGTCTTTTAGCCTGGTCATATTGGAAAGCCTCCGGGTTTCTGAGAGAAAACCTGCCTCTTAACGGATTTACGTCGCAGAGCTGTTACCACGGTAACGGACTCAAGAGTTTCTCTTGTTACTTTTTGCTGGTCGGATGGAAAGGCAGCTCCCCTCCTTTATGACTCAGTCACAACAACAACAACATGCAGTGAAATCCTCAATAATATAAAAGCGTTTCTGAACCGTAGCACTTTTACCTGGAACGGTCAACGCCAACATTCTTCATGATTACGGTCCGAGAAGAGGACGTGCCGTCCCTCAGAGTCCCAAAGTCAACACTCGAGGGACGGAGCAGGAAGCTCCTCACGACCGAGCTAGGACTAGTGAGGGACACTGGTCCACACGTCCTCCTCACAGACTCCTGCGTCGCCTCAAACTGGACCAGAGGAGACAAAGTCACAGATGTCCTGTGTGTGGTGGGCGGACCATGCAAACATGGTTCCACACTGACACGTTCTAACTGAGCACATGAAGGTTCACCTGTTTATCGGATAAATACGTTTTGTAACACGTGTTTATGTTTACATGTGGGTTTGGCTCGCTGTGGGTCTCTGGGCCGAGGCTGCCGGGTGGCGGTTGGACTTTAGTCTGCCTGGGCCTTTCGGTCACGTCCGGCTGGACTGATTCAGACTTTCTTTGAGAGCTCCTGCGACTGCTTTCACCTGAACAGACAAAAACACTTCATCGCTGCGGAACATCCTGTTTCTAACATGTATGTGATTTACTCACCGAGACACACCAATGAGCTCATGTACCCGACAGCCTGATTTACTACAGGAGACACGACACCCACCTGTGTGAGCAGCAGCTTCCTGCAGCATACTATTCTGTGTAATTATATCACTATTATAATTATTCCCACCTTTTCAGTTCAAATAATTCTTTTGAAATACAGAAAAAACACGAATGCTAAATTAGTGTTACTTTCTATATTTCTGAGGCTCTGCTAGTCTCAGATAGCTGAAGGAAATTATAAATGCACACAAACAAAAGCTCGGGTCTCAGGAGACTTTAGGAGGTCAAATCGGAGCACCTGAGGATCTGTATGAACCTTAAGAGGCGACTGAAACATTCAGGGCAGAAACGTTGGTATGTTACAGTACTACGACCCTGTAGATGACTCCTATCTGTTCTGTACTGCGATGGTAATTTTTTTATTACTACTGTTGTTGGTGCCGGATGATTCATCATATCATGTTAGAGCGAGTAAGGTGAGGAACTAACCGGTACGCTGTGATCGGCGGTTGGTGGCTCCGTTTTCAGGCATCTTGGTTTCTGCTGCATGGCTGAAATAAAACGCAGACATCATAAACCCAACTCTACGATATCCTTCCCGTTAAACACGTGTTTTGTGATCACCTTTGTGAGTGAGGAGGAGTTAAGGGAGGAGCTGTGGAGGCAAACACAACCTTATTACAACACGTTTACCCCAGAAACTCACCCAGAGGCTGTCTAATGGAACTATCGGCTTCATTTTAAGAACTTCGTAAACACACATCTTCATTTCACCTGAAAGCTGTTGTCTGACATAGAACTCCACGTCTTAAATATGTAAACAAATAAATAAATGAGTGGCTTTAACTGACCCCTCATTTCCACGGGAGCCGTCAGCAGCACGTCTTGCTCGCGTAAGCTGCTGCTTGGCCCTTCCCACGAGACGCGTAGCAGCAGGGGAGCAGCTGTCACCGACAGAGCACGAAGTCACACGAGTGACTTCGTCAGTAAACACAACAACAAGCAGGAGAAAACTACAACATGGTTTGTGTTTTATGTTCTGTCCGTTTTATAATCGCCAATACGGACCTGAAAAACGAAGGAGACCGCTAGCTAGGTGATAACTTCTCACGGGACCGCACAGTTAGTAACTTTTTTTAAAGTAAAGCAACCGGAAGGCAGTGCGTTTCTTTATTCTGAAAATCTCTGGAGCTTCGCTCCATTTCCGCATCCGATTTCCTGTCTTTCCTTCCCCAAAAATGTCGAACTTGACCCGTTTCAGAGGCGTAGCGCGTAGAAAATAGAACCGGCGCATAAGGGCCGCGACATGCTGCTCCTGAGACGCGGCCGACTCGCGCTGCTGACGGCTCCGGTGGAAAAGGTTCTGTTGACCACAGCAGTTCCTATCAGCAGCTATGACGTGCTGCTGCAGTAACGTGCTGCCGACGGCTCCCATGGAAAGAAGGGGTAAGTCTACAGAACAGCAGGAGCAGCAGCAGCAGCAGGAGCAGGAGCAGCAGCAGCAGCAGCAGCAGGAGCAGCAGCAGCAGCAGGAGGAGCAGCAGGAGCAGGAGGAGCAGCAGCAGGAGCAGCAGCAGGAGCAGGAGCAGGAGCAGCAGCAGGAGCAGGAGGAGCAGCAGCAGGAGGAGCAGGAGCAGCAGCAACAGCAGCAGCAACAGCAGCAGGAGCAGCAGGAGCAGCAGCAGCAGCAGCAGCAGGAGCAGGAGCAGCAGCAGCAGGAGCAGCAGCAGCAGGAGGAGCATCAGCAGCAGCAACAGCAGCAGGAGCAGGAGGAGCAGCAGCAGGAGCAGGAGGAGAAGCAGCAGCAGCAGGAGCAGCAGCAGGAGGAGCATCAGCAGCAGGAGCAGCAGCAGCAGCAGCAGCAGGAGCAGGAGCAGCAGCAGCAGCAACAGCAGCAGCAGGAGCAGCAGCAACAGCAGCAGGAGCAGCAGCAGCAGGAGCAGCAGCAGCAGCAGGAGCAGCAGGAGCAGCAGCAGCAGCAGGAGCAGGAGCAGGTGTGTCCACGTCTAGAACTCACTGCTGTCCTCTGAGACGTTTCTCCCATCAGTCTCACTACTGTCCACCTCCAGAGGAAGTTTCAGGGATGAGCTCCTCGTCTCGGGTTTCTGACCACGTAGCAGACTCTGAATAAATGAGAGCACTGAGACTTTTTCTGCACCACATCCAGAAACAGAGCGTCTATGAGATCCTGCATTACTCTGTGTAACAGAAGGTTTTCTGGATGGAAGTAAGGAACGACGATCCTCTCCCTCAACGCCTCTCTGTAGGTCTTCTCCTCACTGAGCTCCCGTCTAAAACACACCGTCAAGCAGGAAATATCCTACCAGTATCCAGCTTTTATGAGCATGATCCTTCAGCTCATGGTTGAAGGTTAAATAGACACTTTCAAACCTTTTACCTGTGCTGAGCGTGTCTCTCAGTCCATCTGGAAACTCGCTCTTCAGTGACCCTGAAACCAAGAGAAGGATAAAGCTTGGTTTATGCTTGGCACATTTACTTTCCGCTTGGTGATGCGGCTCGCGGATGGAACGCGCTTCACAACTCGCAGCGTTTATGGTTCATGCGGCTTGTCTCTGCGGTGAGCCAATATTCTCCCAAACTGTAGGGGGCAGCATGGAGCTCTACGGCATGCATCCAACACTACACCGTAGTAGAAGTAGAAATAACTGTTTACAACATGGCATTCCAGCATTTTTAACAGCGTCCTCGTCTTTTCCGACAGTGCGAGCTATTTCTCTCCAAGAATTATTAACAACATGTTGATCACGGTGATCTCTGAGAGCTGAATCATACAAATGTCTGTATTTACGAACCTCTGCCATACTAGTTCTTGCCAGTCCGCCATGTCTTTCCACGTCCGACCGTTCGCGTGGTTAGAACATTTCCTAGGTGCGCGGTGCGGAAAGTTTGGGCCGTGCGGAGGCGCGGTGGAGGGGCGTGGTTGTTAAAATGACGCAATTTCGCCGCGCAGACCTCGCGGACGCTTCAAGCATAAACCAAGCTTAAAAGCATCCGGAGAGGATTTAAGCTTTGAGTCTTCTGTTTTACCAACACACATACTGTTGTGATCCATCCAGACTGTCGGCATCCATGTCATCAGCTTCTGAAACGTCCGACCGTTCCAGCGATGCTTCCACTACTTGGATATAGAGGTCGGCTAAATCTGCTGCAAATAAAGGAACCAAACAGAAGGTGTTTTCTGAAACACATCAGTGAAAACTCCGACGGTCTGATTCTTTCCTGCTCTAATCAGTGGCGTGTTCAGATCTTTTAAAATGGGGTGGCCCAGGTGAGGCACAGCTTTGTGCATGGGTGGCACCAATGGTTATGCTTTTTTTGTTTTACCCCCAAGCCTTTTGTGGACAGTGAAAAGCCAATTTAAAAGTAAATTAGCGTGGTGGCACCTGGGGTGGCCAATCAGATTCCAAGGGTGGCATGTGCTACCCCAGGCCACTCCCTGGACACGCCCCTGGCTCTAATCACCTGAAACCCTGGTAGCAGACGTGCGCCGTGCTTCATCTTCCTCTGCAAAACACTACAAAGAGCCTTTCTAAGGATTTCAGCCATTTTGTGTCAGATAAATATTTTACAGGCTGATGATTTAAGACAAAAACCGCCTTTTTACAGTATTTCTGTTGAACTGTGTGTGTGTGTGTGTGTGTGTGTGTGTGTGTGTGTGTGTGTGTGTGTGTGTTTACTAGGTTAAAACTGATGAGATCACTGATGTGGACACCCTCCTCCTCCTCCTCAGAGTGATGCTCTTTGACTTTCATCTCCTCTGATAGCAGTTCTCTCGCCATCAAACGCCCCATGTATTCCTGCAGAGGCACGTTGACACTCTTCATCTCAGAGAGTCACGATTCAGGAAACTAAAGCTGAACTGAGGGATGCAACGATACCACTTTTTTCCAAACCGATACCATACCGATACTTGGTTCTGAGTACTCGCCGATACCGATTACCGATACTTCTACCACACAAAAAAAGGCAATGATTTGGAATACACATTTTATTTTCTTCTCTGCTTTCAACAGGAAAAGATTTTAAGATAAAAAGTAAAATATATGAATAGAAATCATCACAAAACTAAAATATTAGGTGAACAGAAATGACAAGTTACAGTGAAGCCGTTTTCAAGCAACTGCATTGGTATCGGTTAACTTTTACCGATGCTTGTGCCGATACCGATACCAGTATTGTATTGGTGCATCCCTAGCTGAATTATTGTTGTTTGAATACTCAAAGGAGTGGGTGACTTGTTTAATCAATACATTTGCAGTGGTCCCTATAAGAATGAAAGCCTAGTAAGTCATTCCAACATCACAGCTGAGCTTCGGACGGCAGGTTTTGGAGTCTTATTTCCTGATATTTGGACATCTTGTCTCTGATTGGATAACAGCAACGCGACTCGACCACTGACCTGCAACATGGATGTTTTATCTCCACAGAAAACATAAACCTAGAATCGCTTCTGCCAGGTGTAGATGTTGCTAATGCTAACGGTCAGGTTAAACTAGTCGAGGCGTCCGCTGCGGTTTCCTGGACGTTAAAACAACAACAGCCTTCCCCGTCGTGAGTCAAGATGGGGGAGTCCGTGAATGTAAATTCAGTGTGATGTGGATCTGTCAGGCTTTTCAACTTTAATTCACAACACGTCATCGCAAAGCGGACCAGAGTAAGCTACCACACACATGGAGATTTTACATTTCAGAGAATGCTAATGCTAACTTCCTGCAGAAAGGTTACTGCTAACCTCTGTTCCCGTCTGACAATCCTCACCAGGATTGTTCTCCAGAATCTCCACACGTTTCTGGTTCCTGAAATCTAACTTCAGCAGGTTGGACCTCAGAACTGATTTGTTCTTCAGGCTGCTGTTTAGAGGGTCTCTAAATGGGCCATTCCCATCTGTACCGGGTCGGCCCGGGCCGGGTAGGTAGGTTGTTTACATATCTGGGTGGCCTGGTATTTTTCCGGGCCAACCAAGGCTCATTCTCAGCCCTCTTCTCGAGGGGGTCTGCTTCAGGCCGACCAGGGCCAACACACCCACTGCTGACAGCAAATTCACACCTTCCATTAGAGCAAGCCTCTGATTGGTGGGTAGAATCAGCCCACATGGGCTTAAGACAAGGATGTGTGGAATCAACCGGGCCAGGCTGGGGCCGACCGGAGCTATCCGGGCCGGGCCGACCCGGTACAGATGGGAGTGGCCCATAACTCTTCCTCATGCTGCTCGTTAATTCTTATCTGGTCCAGCTGAAGGTCTACTATTATACTATGGAGGTTGGTCTCTGTTTCCTCTATAGACGTCAGCCTGGTCAGGAGCTCCTCGTTAAGCCTGGCTGTCTCCCTGCTGTGGACCAAACTGAGTCTCACCTGCTTTTCCACTTTCTGCAGCTCCTGAATCAACTTGTGGTCTGAGTCGACCTTCTCAGAGCTGCGCTTGTCCATCGCCTCTCCGAGCTCAGAGTTCCTTTGTTTCATATCCGGGAAATGTTGTCTCCTAGCTGGAGTTTTAAGACCTCCAGCTCATCAGGAAGCGTCTCCTCTGTCTCAGTCTTCCTGGAGCTAAACATCTCCAGCTGGTTTTTGGGAGAACTTCACAAAGCTGCTCGTAGAGCTTGCGTGTTTTTCTGACAGGTCTCTGCATTAGTTTGGTAACAGTCCTGTTCCAGTTCATTAATAAAGTCGTTGTTTCTCTCACAGTCGGTCTCAGCCTTTAGTTAATCAAGTGGGCGGAGCCTAACTTTAAAGGCAGTTAGCTTCACTCCACGTAAGCATCTTCAGCTATAATTTTCAGCAATTGGCATTAAAACAGCATTTAAAATTGTTATTGTCATCATCACCATTATTATTAGTAGTAGTTTCATTAATAACATTATTATCATAAGAAGAAATGTTATTAGTAAACATCTGAACTCGACCAAACTGATCAGATGAAGTTACCTTCAGACGGGCATCTATAGTGTTTGTGAGCGGTGTGGTGAAGGGCCGATGCTGGTAGAGCTCCCTGACCTCCAGAACTTCAGGGCAGCTCAGGACACGTTGATGCTGAGCAGCAGAACCAGACGACCTCTCCTCCAGGGTCAGACCCACCCCTGCTTTGCTACCAAATGGAGGACTTGCCTTCTTCCTCTAAAATGCAGAGAAACCCTGATGGACTGCACCTGTGATGCCGCCCTCACTGATAACATACATCGTGTCGGACCACGTCTGTACCTCCACTGCGGGGAAGTCATGCCAGGTCCGGTTTCTGAGACTGGGAGGGGTGATGTCAGGTATCTGTTTCTTTAGCAGCCACTGGGCCCACACACTCCGGCGGCTGGGCTTCAGGATGGTGATGCCAAACTCATCTGAAACATACCGTTACAGTGATGAATCATTCCGTAGTAGGTTTGGTTTCCTCTGCTGCTGACACAGATGCATGTAGAGGTCGTGGTCAGCCTATGTGTGCTTCCTAGTGTTGCGGCTGATTTCTGCTTGTCTTGCACTTTATTTTTATGCCAAAATGTTACTATACCATCAATGGATGCAAAACCTTTCTCAAGCTTTTTTTTTTTTAATTCTTCTTCTGGCTCTCGGAGGGAGCAGACACTTTTTTCCTCCTCTCCTCCATATCTTATCCTCAAGGCTCTTTGTCTGTCTCTGGGTGTACGGCTGCTTCTGCATTTTTTCTGGAAACTGGAAACTGAAATCACTAAAATGGACCTGGTCAGTTGGTCTCTCAATGCGATTGATACAATTTTTTTCAATGATGAGAACGGGAGAAGGGGCTCCCGGATGTCCTGCCGGGACAGACCCAGTTGGACACATCATGGACTCCTGGAAACAGTGGAACTTGATTTGTTTAACTCAGCTGTCTGTGGAGGACTCTGAAGACGTGTGGATATTCGTGGTGTTGGTGTCGGGTTTCCTGCTCATTGGCCTTGTAGACTACCTTGCTTACCGGAAAATTAACGAGCTGTCGAGGAATACTGGCCTGATCCCGGAGCTCAGAGATGGTTTGCACCGCGCTGTGAATTCACAGACTCACATAATTGTCGAGATGAATCGTAAGCTTGAAACTTTGGCGGAGATTCATTATTGGCACAAAAGATGGATGCCGTCAAGGAGAGAGTGGACGAATCAGCACAGATTGGGATAGATTAACGTCCATTATTGGGATTTTGAGAGGTTGAGGACCAACAAACTGTAAGACAGAGAGGAAATTATATCTGTCTGGCCCCAAAACAATTTCTAATCGGAATCTGGTGTCCTTGAGCCTGCAAGGCTCCAACGAAAACTCCCCCCTCAGAAAATATGTGGAATGTGCCGTCGCTATGGCAACTCAACTCTGTCTCCTATCCCAGCCTGGGCGGAACTGCGGGAAGGCCACTGAAACATTCCAGGGTCACTGCAACCCTCCAACCCTCAATGCTCCTTCCCCTATCCACACTGAGGTGACATGTGTTGCTTATCGTGGCTGCAGGAACTGAAGTGTGGATAGTCCCAACCCACCACCCCTCCTAGTGGACACTTGTGTTGTGTTGTCTGAAGTCTGTTGCATATCTCTGTCTGAGGTGTTTTTTGCAGAGCAAAGCTGCCCTCCTGCTGGAGAGTAGCTCTGAAGTGCCTTTTTTCCCTCCACCTGAACCAATCCTCATGTAACCCTCTTATCTCTATTAAGGTAGCGTGACTCAGGGTTGCGAATGACCACAGTCACCAGTTCTTGTCATGTGTCTATGCCTATGTATGTCTGATCTCTGAATTGTGTGTACTGAAACTCTAATTCCCCTCTGGGATTAATAAAGTATCTTTGATTTGGTTTGACTGATTTGAAGCTGAATCAGTGTTTGAACACTGAATTTAACCGACGGGTAAATCTTGATCTGGTGCACCGCTCAGTTACAATCAGACGTCTAACTGAATGTTCAAAACTACTCCATGAAATCAGTTTTAGCTGAAAGTAATTTTTAGAGCATTTATTATGCAGATGCTATTCAGAAGCCTAAATGTACATTTAAATTAAATTCCGCAGCAGCTCCAGGCTGCCCGGGGATGCGCCTGACTTTAAATCAACTTTACTAAGGAGTTATATCGGCCCGATATATCCGTCTGCCCCTATTCCGTGGGTGTCCTGAATAATATGGACCTTGTTTGTGTGGTAGAGGTTCCTTTAGCACCGCTATGGTCGGGTCAGAGCGGCTCTGCTTCAGCAGCTCCTCCACAGCGTGACGGCTCAACAGCTCAGAGCCGGAACCATCTTCATGCACCAGAAACAGTCTGAAGAGACATTTTCACACCTTGGTTAACAAAACAACCAAATTTAGTTTCATGTTTATAGATACCGAGGATTTAGTTTAACTTTAATAGTGATCATCGTCACTAGAAACAGTAAAATCACTCCGGTGTCTGTTCCTACCTGAAGTTTGACAACAAACACCAGAGCTGATCATGTGTGGATGGCTACCTGGGACAGTGTCTTCCACGAAGCCCGGCCTTTTCCTGACCCTCCTCCTCAGGCGTCTGGATGATGGGAACGGGACTAAAGGGTACGACGGAAATCCGCCCATCTTCAAACACCTGGAACACAAAATCATCTCCAGCATCACACATAAAAACCTTCATAACTGATCACCATACCTGGAAGTGGTTCCCATCCTCATCTGTGACATCGCAGGCCACACTGTGGGTGTGACTCATCATGTAAACTCCCGGTTGGTTGCTGGAGCAGCAAACTGGTGCGTGAGAGGAGTACAGGCAGCTCCCATCACCCAGGACCTGCAGAACCCCCACGGGGCGGCAGCACACCTGGAACATAGCGAGCGTACTCATCTGACGACCTAAGGAACACTCAGCTCAGGGACGGAAGGAAATCCAGGCATAGACATTTTGTTTCAGAGTAATTTTGCAGGTTGATTTTGGCGCCACCTGTTGGTCGAACCAAAAGACTATAACGAGACACGCGTATACGATACCTGCAGCAAACACACACCTTATAGTCCGCTCTGTTGGTCCCAGTGATGACGGTCCCATCAGCTAAACGGACGTGAGCCGTGTGACGCTCCGGCCACATCTCTACTGAAGCACAGCCATCTTTCTCCACCAGCACCACCTGCTCTTTGGTGGACACGCCTCCCTTTTCACCACCTGTCTTCTTAGGACAGCCAGTCTGCCCATCGTCACTACTCCTGTTGCTGCTGATCTTCTGTCCGCCGTCACAAGCATTGTCCACCTTTCTGTGGACACACACACGGCTGCTCGTGCACTGACAGGCCGTCTTCTCCCCTGGAAAACGGAGACACACTTGTTTAGGACACACGCAGCGGCCTAACGGTGTGGTTACACAGCAGAGGGACGACTCGCGTGATGTACCAGTAGCTGGTCTGTCCCGGAGGAAGCTGCTGATCCTGGTTCCATCAGCATGCTCCACAACAAGAGACCCATCTGGGTTCTGAACTAAAACTACGGGATCCTCTCGTCTTTGCAACACCTGACACACAAAACAAGTTAACGTCAACAATAGGACCAGGTTTTGGACTTTTACAACAATAAAATCCATAAGATCACTAAAGAGAGCAGCAAGGGGTGCCTGATGGGTGAAGGGGTCAGTAGCCTTAAAGGTTAGGAGAGGGGTGGTGGGTAGATGTTGGTGTGTGGTCCCAACAGTGCACACACGATTCCCCGATGGACCTGTAGTCTGCCAGACTCCTTTCTGCGCGTCCGTGTCTCTCTCTGAGGTCTGGTCTGGAAGCACACAACAAAAGTTCGGAGGAAGGTAAAGGGAGCTGAGCGCTGAAAAAAGCTGCAGTCCAACCTTTCTGCAGCTTTGCAGCTTCAGCGTCAGGAACCCAAACTGGACCAGAATCCTGGCTGAAGCTCACGGAGCCGTTTGCAAACAGCACCTGGGACACAGACACGGGTACGTGAGGTTACTGGCCTGCTCATGAGAGCAGCTCCTGCTTTTAAATCCGCTTCAGAGTTTGTGTGTTACTGTCTGTAAGCGTCTAAAACCAGAATCTGGCAGGAGAACGTTTGCGTTTTTTACTGAAAATAATAAAAGCAGGTAGTAAAACCAGTGAAAACTAACGTTTGAGCAGAACTGAAACATTAACACAAGTTGGTTTCTTACAACAGTCAGAAGTAGAAACCAATGATGTCAAATCAGCTACAAAAGACCAAATTTTATCCATCAGAGCAGAAAACATTTGTTGGACTTTCATCTTTACATCCGCACTGAATCGTCCTTCCAGCTGGACAAAAAACAGCCAACTATCACTCCGAACTATTTTCTCTTTCAGAATCCTAAAAGGTCGAGAAATGTTCATAAAAAACATTAAAACAAGACAAACAGACGAGAGACCACAAGTGAACACTAGAGGGCAGCAGAGCGTCTGTACTGTTAAAGTCCCATAGTCATCATCACACATCTCCACATTTGACCCATACCCGTGGGGAGTGGTGAGCAGCGGCTGCGCTCAGGAACTATTTGGTGGTTGAGCTCCCACCCCCCAATCCAACCCCTTACAGCCGCGAGTCAAGCAGGGAGGCGTCGGGTCCGTTAAAGTCTTTGGTAAGACCCGACCGGAATTTGAGGCCCGATCTCCCAGTCCCAGGGCGGTCACTCTACCACTAGGCCACTGAGAAGGTTACACCTGCTTCCAGTTGCTGCCTCTACTTCTATGTTTGTGTGTGTGTGTGTGTGTGTGTGTGTGTGTGTGTGTGTGTGTGTGTGTGTGTGTTAGGGGCTGCATGACTTAATTTTTTTTAAGTCGACAGTCAAGTAATGAAAATCGAGTCGACTTTGACTAGTCGTTGATGACGTCATACACCTGAAGCGGCTAAAACTGACGATGGGTGACCAAACGTTTTTTCCCGACGCACGGGGTGGGGGGGGGGGGGGGGTGGGGGGGGGGGTGGCATCGCTGGAGTTTTTGACAATTAAAATTGCGCCCACATTTTCCAAGTTAAACATTTCTTTTAACAACGGTAGTTTCTGCTTCAGTCCTCTCCCCCCTCCCCCTGCGCAGCGGCCGCTAACTCACTGATGCGCCTGCAGCCTCTCGGAGTTCCTGCTGCTCTAAACATTAAAATAATTATTTCATTTTCTGTTCCTCACTTCTGATTACCTTCAGTGGTGTCTGTTTGTTGCAACCAGCAGGTACAAAAACTAACTTGTTTTTATTTGACTATTTTTCTGTCCTGTCTGTTTATTATCTTCCTGCATCTCCTCTCAATCCTAAAGAGAAACTGCTACCTGGCTTCATATATATTCACCTCATGAGTTACCTTTGAACTGCAGTTCTAAAAGATCTACCGACCGCTAAAACAGCGGAGTGCTCGCCGGCCGCATCAGTTAGGTGCGTCACCGAGGACAAAACAGGTGATGCGCCCCGATCCACAGCAGCGAAACGCATCAGGCACAAATAAAAGACAGAAAACATAAAAGGAAATGAGCCAACATGAACGATCGCGTGTTAAATTAGTTTTTGAGGTGGCGACACCTGATTTGATAATGTTACTGTGGCCGTGCTCAGGACGCAGATGTCTGGAGCGTGTCAACAATCAGAGCTTTGCATGCGCAAGCTGGTTACGGTTAGGATGGGGGTGAGGGGAAGGTTAAATTGCAAGAGGGTAAAGGTCACAATTTGGTTAAATGTCCGTTTTACGGCGGGTGTCAGTACCGACGCTCTGGCACAGCGCGTCGCCTCCCGACGCGCAGGAGCTCGTCACCTGCTGACAGCAGGCTGATGTCTTTTCTGAGGACTGCATCTTGCCGGTCATTATCACGTGACAGCGACTAGTCGATGACAGGCATAAAAAGTCTCTATAGAGCGGCGAAGTCCACTAGTCGACTAGTTCATACAACCCCTAGTGTGTTTACACCTCTTTGGATCCATCTCTCATGTAACGGATCACAGCTCCCTGACTGGTGATGGTGCGGTGCAGCTCTTTGGAGAGGGACACATCCTGAAGACGCTGTCCTTCACCGTGGACAGGGAAGCTCTGCTTCACCAGGATTCCTCGTTCCTCTGCTGACACACCTGGACACACAAACACCAGTGCTGAGAGGTGATTTGGTGTGTGTGTGTGTGTGTGTGTTGTGGCTGAAGCATCTAACGACGCACAAAAGTATTTTAAATTCAACACTAAAAGCTGAACTCAGCTTTCTAGAACAAAGACATCTGAAATGATCCTTCACTGATCAGGAAAACACGCGTAATTCATGCTCTTCAAAATAAGACTTCCTTTAAAGGAGTTTTCAAAATAAAAGCTAATAGGAGTAAACGTGCATCAGACTCTTAGTGGTGAAATGTAACACACAGAGACTTTAGGACGCACGTCTGTGCTTCAGTGTGTGAAACATGTCGACCGCGTCTCTGACCTTCTGTTTCTTCTCTCAGGAACTGCAGCAGCAGGCCGTTGGGGACAGAAAGGCTGAGGCTGTTGAAGGGGCCTGATGGTTCCTCACAGCCCTAAACAGGAAGTCCATGTCTGACTCAGTAAGTTGTCTTTAGTGTTAAAGAACCCATGTGTGGACTTTCACACGTCTGTAATAAATATGAAGGGACTGTGGAGGTCACACCTGACTGGACTGAACTTGTCTTCTACAGGAAGGCTTCGAGGTTTCCTCTTGTCCCTCCTCAGAACTCACTAGAACACAACAACGGTTACTCCCACGTGAGTGAGTGAGTGAGTGAGTGAGTGAGTGAGTGAGTGAGACCTGTGTGCTCTCCTGTTGGACCATAGAAGCTGTAGGACAGGTGGAGTTTCTTGTCCAGCACAGCTGAGAAGGTTCCCTGCTTCACCGTTTTCATCACCCCAGACTCGACCTCTGAGAAGGACACAGACATGAAGGTGTTTACAGTTTTGTTACCATACTTTAGATACTTGTTGTTTAGATCATGCCAAACATGGACTGAATATCCTAAAGTTGTGTGTTGATGTGTCTCTGTCCTGCAGAAACTCTTGACCTTTACTGTCCTCGTCTGGGCGGACGTTTCCTCTGTCTGCTGGCTGAGAGGACGACTTCGAAGGGTCAGCGGCGGCTTGGTTGATGTGTGTGTAGAAATGATGTCCATCTTTTTTCACAGCCACTTTCATCAGGGTAGAACCTGGAGCACAACATGTTTTATTGTCTAAAAGACAGAGGACGTCCAGACCTGACACAGTCGTGGTTTAGATTCTGTACCTTCGGTAAAGCTGATGGTCTCCACCGTGATAACTCCTCCGTCTGAGGGGTAGAGGTGCTGAGTGCAGCCCGACACGTGGATCAGCCGTCCATTCATGCTGTAGCCGGTGAATCTCTACACACATGCACACAGGACTCGCATTCATGTCACATCAGGCTCCACGTGTCCCATTCAGGGATGCAACTTTTAGCAAAACTCTTGTTTGTACCAATTTTGCATATTTTCTCCCATTGTGCCACTGGCTTAAAACCAACCTACTGACACTCACACTCAGAGGTTCCTCTGTGGGAGGAGGGTCTTGGTTTCCCATAGAGGTGGTGGGTGCAGCACTACTGGGAGCCTTGGCGAAGGTGCTGGTTGTATCTACTCTGCTCTTTTTGACACCAGACAAATCTTTACTTTCTTTGTTGCCCATGGCCTCTTCTTTCTGCTGCTTGGCTTTGGGTGTGTTCTTGTTCTTTGATCTTTTCAGCATCTCCTCTTCCTTCAGCTGCTCCTGTTCTAACCTCCAGGCCTAAAAACATTGACACCAGAAGTCTCAAACTAAAGGATGACATGAACGCATGCATCCACAGCATGTTGCTATGGAAACTCAGCAGTTCGTTATTGTTTTGCTAGAAATTAGTTTTCATAATTCATAAACCAGATGAATAAAGTCACTAAGTGATGCTGTGACACTGCTTACTATTAGAAGTAAATCCACTTAATGCTGTAGTCAAATTAAACAGGCTGGAGACTTCAAGCTGTTTCAGGAAGTTCTACTTTAATTACAGACAAAATTGTGTGTGTGTGTGTGTGTGTGTGTGTGTGTGTGTGTGTGTGTGTGTGTGTGTGTGTGTGTGTGTGTGTGTGGAGGATGCTGACTTTCAGGGAATCCTTTCTGATGATTGGTTCCAGAGTCATCTTCTCCATCATTGAGCACGAAGCCTTTTCGTCTGAACAAAAACCAAAACAGATATAATCTATACCACCATAAGTAGTTATAACGTTGTAATAATATAAAGACTCGACAGCTGTTTTGACACCACCATAAGTAGTTATAACCATGTAATAATTTAAAGACCTGACAGCTTTTATGACACCATCATGAGTAGTTATAAGACTGTAATGACAGTGCAACAGCTGTTATTACACTATCATGAGTAGTTATAACTATGTAATAATTTAAAGACCTGACTGTTTTTATGACACCATAATGAGTAGTTATAATGCTTTAATAAAAGTGTGACAGCTGTTATTACATCATCATGAGTAGTTATAACACAGTAATATTATGAAGACCTGACAGCTGTTAAGACGCCAGCATGAGTAGTTATGCTGTAATAAAAGTGTGACAGCTGCTATGATAGTGTGACAGCTGTTATTACACCATCATGAGTAGTTATAATGCTGTAACAAAAGTGTGACAGCTGTTATGACACCATCATGAGTAGTTATACCATAGTAACAAAAGTGTGACAGCTGCTAAAACACCATCATGAGTAGTTAAAACACTGTAAAAAAGTGTGACAGCTGTTACTACACCATCATGTGTAGTTATAATGCTGTAACAAAAGTGTGACAGCTGTTATGACACCATCATGAGTAGTTATACCATAGTAACAAAAGTGTGACAGCTGCTAAATCACCATCATGAATAGTTAAAACACTGTAAAAAAGTGTGACAGCTGTTACTACACCATCATGTGTAGTTATAATGTGATAAAAGTGTGACAGCTGTTATGACACCATCATGAGTAGTTATACCATAGTAACAAAAGTGTGACAGCTGCTAAAACACCATCATGAGTAGTTAAAACACTGTAAAAAAGTGTGACAGCTGTTACTACACCATCATGTGTAGTTATAATGTGATAAAAGTGTGACAGCTGTTATGACACCATCATGAGTAGTTATACCATTGTAATGAATGTGTGAAAGCTGTTACTACACCATCATGAGTTGTTACAACGCTGTAATAAAAGTGTGACAGCTGCTACCACACCATTATGAGTAGTTAAAACACTGTAATAAATGTTTGATAGCTGTTACTACACCATCATGAGTTGTTATACCATTGTAATGAATGTGTGAAAGCTGTTACTACACCATCATGAGTTGTTACAACGCTGTAATAAAAGTGTGACAGCTGCTACCACACCATTATGAGTAGTTAAAACACTGTAATAAATGTTTGATAGCTGTTACTACACCATCATGGTTGTTATAACAAGATAAAAGTGTGACAGCTGTTATTACACCATCATAAGTGAATAGTAAATGGCCTGTTTAGCACTTTTTAGGGTTCTACAACCCGTCGAGGCACTTCACAGCACAATCAGTCATTCACTCATTCACATACACTTTCATACACTGGTGGGGATGAGCTACAATGTAGTCACAGCTGCCCTGGGGCACACTGACAGAGGCGAGGCCTGCACATTGGCGCCAGCGGGCCCTCCGACCACCACCAGAAGGCAAGGTGGGTTAAGTGTCTTGCTCAAGGACACAACAGCAGCATTCTCTGGTCGAAGCCGGTATCAACCTGTAACCTTCCAATTACTGAACAACCCACTCTACCTGCTGAGCTAATGCTGCTGTAGTTATAACATTGTAATAAAAGCGTGACAGCTGTTGTTGCACATTTTCATGTGTATGGCACCTTTGAGAGACTCCGCAGGGCTCTGGGTTCTGATGAGTGCTTTTTCTCTTTTCAGCTCCTCCTCTCTAGTCCAGTCTGAAACAGTCTCAGCAACATGCTCCAGATATTTCCTACAAAACCCAGGAGAGAGAAGGATGTTTCTGAATTTGAAATCAACTTCACCCCATCTAAATAATGTTATCAGATAAATCTGTGTGGTTAATTTAGTGTTATAATTGGTCAAAGTTGGAAGGAAGTTCCTGAGTTCCTCCTGTGTTGAGTAGCCCCTCTGTGCCAGACCTGAACTTGACATCAGTGTGAAGAGCCACGCCCCACAACTCTTTAGACCGGCGCTGAGAATTCATGGGATTGTGACAAAAGACATAAACAATGTTTTCGTGGCTTCCTCTGAAGGTGTCCAGGCACTGATACTCCTCTGAGGCTGACATGAGAACCTGAACAGAGGAAAAAAAAACCACACAATCATATTTCATAATCCAGGTTAAAACCACAGAAACACAGTAACAGTACACGAGCCTTGAACGAGTCGTTTAAAAGGACAGCTTCACTTAACTGGCTGAAATAAGTGATGACTATCTAATGAGATGGTGAATGCATGAATGCATGAATGAACAAGATGACTCACCTGTGGTAAAACAGCAGAACTATGATGTTCGGCGTAATGCCAGTCCACTAAAGATCTCCGTCTACATCTCTGGATGTCAGACAAGTCCAGCTGGTGACAAACGTTCCCGCTAGACTGCTGCTGGAGAAAACGAGCAGCACAGGAGACCAAGAGGTCAGATGCTAAATACTCTGTCTCAGCAGCGGTGAAAGACAGGAAGTACCTCTGAGTCTCCAGGGTCTTCAGTTAGAAATGCTGGGCCTACAGGTGGAAGTATAGACTCTCTGATGAGACACATGTAAGCTGGCTTCGTGGAGCTGGTTTCATCAAACATACCTTCAGTTCGCAGCTTATGAAGTTGTTGTTTAGCGTATAATAAAGGGTTGTCCCAGGGAATAACATCTGATGTGTGTTCCTCTGTTCCTGGATTGTTTAGTAACACCCCATGTTGATCCACAGTCTTCAGGACCATAGCCTCAAAAACACTCTGATGAAACAGGCGCTCCACGTCTGGCCATGACACCTCATCTAGGAGACGTCTTTAGATTATTCTCATGAACTCGAACTGATCTGCGTTTTAGGTTTTTATTCAAACCTATTAAAAAGGGTTTCTGACCATCTGTACAGAAGTGCTGCAGCTGCTGTTTGTCTGTCATCCAACAGGTGGCGCTGTTCCTCCCCTGAGCTTTGGGCTGAGTTAAGTCCAAAACTGGAGAAAACCTCATCATGGACACTTCCACTTCAGCTGGACTGAAACCATCATCCGCCTACGAGACAGACGCGTGGGAATGACAACCACACACGAAACATACAAACAAGTAAATAAATACTCACAGTTACGCCCCTTAAGCGTAGTGCTCTCTCATCGTTGTGTGCGATAACCTGAAGCTGCTCAGACTTCTTCTGACTCTTTCTACCTCCAGATGTCTCCATCAACATCTAAAACAGAGAACAAGAACAGGCCGGACTAAATAATGAACAACCTTGTGTGGAGAGAGCGACAGCACAGATGTATAATCCTGATCTGAACACCAAAAATACTCGTGTAGTGTTACAGCAATACATCTAATGACTAGACAGTCTGTATTTGTGTAAATAGAGAATCTGCAGCAGTCATGTGTGTTTGCTGCTTTTGACCTTGACTTGGGCTCCCTCTGCTGGACACACGGTTGCATTACGCTCTGATTCAGCTGTATGAGAAACGACTGCAGCTGCAGCAGCTCCACGGTCTCGGGTCTAAACATTTCAGAGTTAAATAGGTAGTCTCCTTCTGCTGGGAGCCTTTCTGAACTCACTTCACATTCAAATGTAGAAGCAACAGAACAAGCCACGTCCTCTTACACAACGTGTGCTCTTTGGAGCGAGTGTTTCCCCTCCCCCCCAAACACACACACACACTCATGTCTCACACACACACCAGCAACGGCACGCCTACTGCATTTATGTTGCAGGACAGGCACCGTAGTCATTGTAAACAACAGGAGGAGGTCTTTGATAGAAGGACACAGGGCTTTGAGCTCCTCGCTAAAATTCACGTCACGTGTTAGCGCTTCGGCGGGGAAAAATGAAGTTGCTGCATTGGCCGGGAATCGAACCCGGGCCTCCCGCGTGGCAGGCGAGAATTCTACCACTGAACCACCAATGCTGCTTATGCTGCTGAAGCAACACTTCTGGTTTTATACCTTCATGTCTTCTTCCTTCTGTGCTAACGTCAGGACGTCGGTTAAACGCTGGTTCCTCTCGTCTTCGGTGTGTAGAAGAGGCAGGAAGTTCTCCTGCATGCAGCTAGCATGCTGGGGGTCCAACCAGGGACCACCGCTGACCGGTTTGGGTTCCTCTGGTGTTTGGGACAAAGTGAGGACCACCTGGACACAAAAAAAAACCACACAGGAAATGAAGTTGGAGGTGCTTGTTCATACTGTCATCACCTCTTCCTCCACACACACACACACACACACACACACACACACACACACACACACACACACACACACACACACACACCTGCTCCAGCATACAGTTCATGATCAAGGGTACAGAGCAGGCTTCAGGGGGAACCTGGTCCAGTAGGTTGCTATAGTAACGCCTGTCCACACAGAGAGGAGGCAGCTTGCTCTCTGTCCACACAGGAAACAGATATTCAGGTTTCTCTGAATCAGTTGTTGAGACAAAACTTAAGAGTGGCAGTAAAGAAGAGCAACAGATGCAGAATGAGATCAGAGAGGTGAGGCTCACCAGGTTCTGGTGGGGCTGGTTCCCTGTTCATCTTCTTGGTGCGTTGGGTCGGCAGAACGGTCGACTCTAAAGAGTCCTGATGAGTGGTTTTAGTGAACTGGAACAAACAGAAGCTCGTGTTACTTTTGGATTCAGTATTTGTTACAGATCAGCCTCAGGTCATCAGGATGATTCTATATGAGCTGTGTGTGTGTGTGTGTGTGTGTGTGGGGGGGGGGGGGGGGGGCTCTTAAGCAGCTTATGATGAATCTGAGTTGCATCAGGGGTCCGCAGCAGAGTGGCGCAGCGGAAGCGTGCTGGGCCCATAACCCAGAGGTCGATGGATCGAAACCATCCTCTGCTAAAGTTGGTATTTTAAAGGTAAAATGATCTTTTTAAATAGACATCTGAGCTGAATAAAAGACACCAAATCTAAATGAAAAATATACAATAATAAATGGTTCAAATATGACAACTACAAGCTACCCGTTTACAGGTTTACTACCGTCACGATAACAAATAAAAACACTCTTTTAGGGTTACAGGACATACCGTAAATCCTCTAATATTAGCCTGCATTCAATTAACTGCCGGGTATCAGATTTTGGCCGGTGTCGGAGTCGGCGGAGGTGAATAATGGCCGGTTTTTTATTGTGGCCGGGTGGAATGTGGTAGCAAGCAAGTACCATGGGGGGGGGGGGGGGGTGTTGTGTCATCCGTCTCACTTTTGATTTGCCAGTGATAGACCGCGAGGGTAACTTTAACCGTGCGGAGACGAAGAGGAGGCGAAAATTTAATATCAAGTTCAAAGAGAACGTGCTGATTATACTGCAGAACACTCTCGGGAGCAGTAGCAGGGGTTGTATGAACTAGTCACTAGTCGACTTCACCGCTCTGTAGTGACTTTTTATGCCTGTCATCGACTAGTCGCTGTCACGTGATAATGACTGACAAGATGCAGTCCTCGGAAAAGACAGCAGCCTGCTGTCAGCAGGTGACGAGCTCCTGCACGTCGGGAGGCGACGCGCTGTGCCAGAGCGTCGGCACTGACACCCGCCGTAAAACGGACAATTAACCAAATTGTGACCTTTACCCTCTTGCAATTTAACCTTCCCCTCACCCCCATCCTAACCTCATATTAACCAGCTTGCGCATGCAAAGCTCTGATTGTTGACACGCTCCAGACATCTGCGTCCTGAGCACGGCCACAGTAACATTATCAAATCAGGTGTCGCCACCTCAAAAACTAATTTAACACGCGATCGTTCACGTCGGCTCATTTCCTTTTATGTTTTCTGTCTTTTATTCTTTTATTTGTGCCTGATGCGTTTCGCTGCTGTGGAGCGGGCCGCATCACCTGTTTTGTCCTCGGTGACGCACCTAACTGATGCGGCCGGCGAGCACTCCGCTGTTTTTGCGGTCGGTAGATCTTTTAGAACTGCAGTTCAAAGGTAACTCATGAGGTGAATATATATGAAGCCAGGTAGCAGTTTCTCTTTAGGATTGAGAGGAGATGCAGGAAGATAATAAACATGCAGGACAGAAAAATAGTCAAATAAAAACAAGTTAGTTTTTGTACCTGCTGGTTGCAACAAACAGACACCACTGAAGGTAATCAGAAGTGAGGAACAGAAAATGAAATAATTATTTTAATGTTTAGAGCAGCAGGAACTCCGAGAGGCTGCAGGCGCATCAGTGAGTTAGCGGCCGCTGCGCAGGGGGAGGGGGGAGAGGGCTGAAGCAGAAACTACCGTTGTTAAAAGAAATGTGTTTAACATTGAAAATGTGGGAGCAATTTTAATTGTCAAAAACTCCAGCGAACCATTAGTTCATTTTGCTCAAATAGAAATTGAGGCCTGCCTCTATTTCTGGTCCTCCTTCCAATAAAGGCCTGGAGCTTGATGAGCTTGAGTCAAATACAGGCCCGGGCCTGTATAAGAGGATTTACGGTAAGAAAAACTAGCAAATATTTACCAGGTTCTAAAATTAGTCAAATCTAACGTCATTTATAGAGAAAACACAGCAGTTTCTCCGCATTGGGTCAACATTCGCTAAACAAAAACCAAAAATAAAAACGGAAAAGCACCCCGTTGTTAAAGAGCAAGTCACCCCTTACAAGAAGCGTACTTCACTCCCACTTCATGTTTGAAAAATGCAACAAATGCTGTTGCCTAGCAGACCGAGAGGGTGGAGCCACTAACAAATACACATACTCACAACACTGTGACATCATAATGTACCAGTTTACATCATAGCATACCTCTTAGCCAATAGCGGTGGCAGATTTAAATTCAAATGCAGTGAAGAGTTTTTACCTGACAACGGCACAACACTGACAGTTTCAGGCAGAAAATTTAAATTTTAACTAAAATGCACTAAAGTGCCAAACTATTGACTACACGTGTCTGCAGCACGATTAGACACGCATTTATATAGTTTATCAGAAAAATATAGTCTATTTGGGGGTGACTTGCTCTTTAAGCTCTGGACTCTGATCGTTCTCCTGGGTTCCGGCCGCAGCTGTCAGATCTATAGGAGAGTTCACGGTCAACCCAAACCATCAGCCCTCAGCCGCCATGCTGACAGCTGGTGCTGGAGCTGAGCATTATGGGTAAACATCTCTACTTAAAGGAAACAACCTTTAATCCTCCTCAGAGGGAAGAACAGCATCAGTTAGATCAAAGGAAACTGCTGTTATCACGAGCTCACAGCTGGCTTACCTCTGACATCCACTAGGGGGCACACTTTAGGTTAGATCCGGATAATTAAGAACTGAGTGAACCCTCGTAGGGTTAGGGACTTTCTAACATGTTCACCTGTTCAGGCTGGGAGTCCCGTCCAACACAGGGGACACTCAGAAGCTTGACATTGTCCCTGTAATGCTGATGCTGTCTACGCCAGTCCAGACAGTCGTAGATGAGATTAGCCACGCCTTCAAAGATTCTGCTTCCCAGGCTCAACTGAAAACATGAAACCCACAAAGGAGATGAAGAAAAATGACTTTTTAATGCAAAGTTCTAGAAATCCATCCTCAGAAGAGATCTATGAACTCATATGTGAGGCTCTTCTCACCACAGCGTCAGAGTCGTGTGTTTGAAGACAGGATGTGAGATCTGGGACAGTATAGCTGAGCTGAACCACATCATGGAGCCTGGAGTCTGGTGGCCCGCTGTCTAAGGCTGCTCTTAGACCTGACCAGAACCGCTTCACCTTTAGAGTGATCTCTAAACACCAGAGTGAATGAGAACATCAGATCTGGACAGGTGTATGAAGCCAAAAGTAGTGAAGAGTCTCAACCTGCATCCAGAACTTGAGGAGCTCTTGTGCTCGGCCGGTTCTCCTCAGAGCGGTGACCTTGCTCTTCTGCACGGGTCTGAGCCTGCTCTGAGCACAGCTGGATGACGTTTGCTACGTGTACACCGACCTCATCGAGCAGAGGGATCAGCTGTGGCTGGTAGAAGCCCACCAAGAGTATGTAGTGGTGAGGACCAGGGTCTGGTTCATCATCTGATGACAAATACAGACAAGCACACAAGTGTTGAAGAGCAAACCGCAGGTTAGAGACTCCCATGAACCGATGTTTAGGGAAACATCATAGCAACTCGTTTTAAACAGTTTTTTACACAAACATTAATTATTCAGGCTTTTAGAGTCATCTTAGGTGTGTTCTTGCTGTGCGTTATTTCTAATTCCATGTTGTCGTTCTTTTTTAAAACACAGAAACGGTTACAAAAGATGGATCAAGGAAGCAATCGAGATAAGGAGACGTGGATGCGGGACCATGAACAGGCACGCTGGACCACGCATGGGACTGCATCGTCGGAGAGGGGAGAGCGGGCAGTAGAGGGCGACAACGTCCTCTGCTGCCCGCGGATAAACGGAGAAGGAAGTGACGCGCCACCATCAGCGCCAGCCTGAAGAAGCCGGCAGCCGTCGGCGAAACGTAGCGACAATAACAGGTAACAAAACCGTTTCTGTGTTTTAAAAAAGAACGACAACATGGTTTTAGAGTCATTTTTGTGAGAAAGTTTTTTTTTTGGCCAAACCAAGTGACGTCATCTGAGGGAGTCCTGCTAGCTTAATCCAGTGAAAAATATAGATTATAATGGCGGCAATGACACAGAGGAAACTTTAAATGTTTACTGTTATACTCATGATGGACCAAAACCACAAAGTTATGAGTTTGCTGCTCGCCCCAGAGAGCAGAAACCAACCAGAGGGAGAAACCATCGGCCAAAGCAGAGCGGGGGGGGGGGGGGGGGGGTCTGGCGATTTAGTCATGTTAGCTTAAAGAGCAAGTCACCCCCAAACCAAGTACTTTTTGCTGATGTAACATGATGAAGGAGCTGTTCCAACCAAGATTATTTAGTCTTTTCCACAGTCCCTTTGACGCAGCGCCAGAGCGCATGAAACAGCCTCAAGGTCATGCATTCACTTCTAAACTGTTTACATTCCAGCGATGAAGACAGAAGAGAAGACTGCTTTCTTTTCTTTTATTAAAAAACCAAAGAACTCTATTTTCAATAAAAGCTAATCAAAACAACTGTTAGTCAATAATAACCATGTGACCGATCTGTGAAATCACAATATTATGATTAATATGTTTTAATAAGTAAATGACTTATTCTAGTCACTAGTCACGCTGATACACTAAGGTAAATAATCACATGACACATTGCTGCCGCAAATCCAATCAGGACCTTCATGTCTGAAGTGTGGCAGAGTCTCTGTGGTGTTTATTTAATCTGTCAGCTGTGATTCGTCCAGAATCATAAACATCAAGATTAATAAAACAGCGCAACGCCATTTTAAGTTCAGTATTCAGCCAGATCGCAAGATCCCCTGAAGTTCATCACATGCTAAGTGAAGTATGGACAGGCCATCTATACTTCCCTTTTTAACTCATTCACTGCCAATGACGACTAAAGTCGTCATTTGCATTTTTTTACTGTTTGAGCATCGGAACGAGCCCCCGTGCTGAGAGAACAAACATCTCAGCCCTGAAGCCGATCTTCATCCGCATACGTCACACATCACACGATCAGGAAGCAACACATCCATGTGTTTGGAGATCGTTTTGGGTCGTTCCTGTAAAAAAAGTGAGGCGCGAACCGGAAAAGCGTCTGCCGATCACAATTCGACAACGGATTATGAAAGAACGGATAACGCTCGAAACACGCGGCTTCTTCCTGATGTAAGAGGTGAGTCTACTCTTTTTGATTGTTTTGGCATCGACATCATGCTAGTGCGCAACGTTCTGTGACTCTTAAAAAAACAGTAAAAACGGTGAGAAACGCTGGCAGCGAAGGCCGTTAGTGATCAGGAAACGGCTGGCAGTGAATGAGTTAAGCTAGGACTGCCAAGCTGGGAAATCCTGTCATTGTTATCAACATACAACGGCTCCTTCAGAATAAAAGCTGAACTCGCTGACCCAAGGAGGGTCCACTTTGACGCTGTGAAACACCTGTCGCTTTTTACCTGGAGACTATCCAAAGACTGGTTTGTCGTGCTGTCGACGCTGTTTCATCGGCTCCAGTACCAGTGGAGGGTCCGTGGACCTGGCATCCTGATCTGTACGGGAGTCTCACTGAAGGGTAATGTAGAGCGACATAAATGGCGTCTCATGTTGTTTTATGACCACGGTTCAAACGTTGATCAGTTAGGAGGAAAACATCATCTCCCACTCAGACTCGCTTCTCCAGAAGGAGGTTCTGAACTGACATCGCACCAACACACACTCCACCTCACATTCCACTCCACAAACATCCATCGTTAAGAGTTAGTTCTGTTAAACTGTTTAAAATCATTTAGATAATAAATTGTCTTAAACATTTGAAAGTCTCTCTCTCTTCTCTTGTCTCTCAGTTCATGTAAAGTGTTTATTTAATTTCCCTGCAATAAAAAGAACCAATCTTCTGATTTAAATAACCCAGTGTCCATTAGATGGTATCCATACTAATTATGGATCTTTAATGCCTATGGTCATTAGTTAAATTGTAACTCTTTAACACTACACTGATAAACTATACAAATTAATGTCTAATCGTGCTGCAGACACATGTAGTCGATTTGGCACTTTAATGCATTTTAGTTCAAATTTAAATATTCTGCCTAAAACTGTCAGCGTTGTACCGTCGTCAGGTAAAAACTCTGCACTACATTTGAATTTAAATTGGCCATCGCTATTGGCTAAGAAGTACACAATGATGTCAGATGGTACATTATGATGTCACAATGTTGTTGTGAGCCTGTGTGTGTGTATTTTGTTAGTGGCTCCGCCCTCTCGGTCTGCCAGGCAACATCATTTGTTGCATTTTTTCAAACATGAAGTGGGAGTGGAGTAAGACTCTGGTAGGGGGTGACTTGCTCTTTAAACTCGTGTGCTAACTTCACAATATAGTACTGATTACTATCGTGTACCAGACAATTAAAGTAGTATCGGGCAGTTAATATAATATTAATACTAATGAGCGTCTGTCAGCGGTCTCATACTCGCTAATATCCGTTCACCTAACCTAGTTTACCTTAGAGAGACGCCTGTGATCTGGTTCTGGAGCTCATGCGGGCTTCTGTGAGCTGGATTTGACCCAAACACGAGCGAGACAGTCGAGCTGGTATTTTTAAAAGCCGCGCATCATCTCCTGGTGGTCCAGGCGGCGGTTCTAATCCGGTTCCGACCCGGAAATCAGCTGGCCCGCTGAGCCGCGCGTCTCTTCTGGTGGTCGGTTCTGACCAGGTTCTGACGGTGATCGGAGCTCCAGAAATCCACATTTAATTTTTTAAACGACGGCTCGGGTCTCCGGAGCCGAGCGCGGGCCTCCCTGACCCGGTACCGACCGATGCGGGCTACAGAAGTCCGTCTTCCAGCTGCAGAAACGCCCTCAGGTACGGAGATAGAGGCGTTGTTCCTCTGATCTGGAAACCCGTGGACTCGATGTCCAGACAGGCTGGAGTTGGTACCGCCTTCACACACTCTAGTTTATCAACATGAACACAACCCAACACTAGTAAACACACACTGACTGGATCACATGACCTCTCTACCCTAAAACTAGCCACTCTCCACACTTGAGCTGAGGCAGCCGAGCTTCTGACTCCCTTTGGTTACGTCAGAGGTTCACATTTAGAAACGAGCTTTGCTGAGAAAGGTCCGGTTCTGCTAGAAATCTCTAGCCTGGCAAGCCAGAAATGTATTATTTAGTCTGGCCATGCTCCATTGACGGCTCTCGGTTGTGGGGCGGGTTCTATCGTTGTCTACTGGACAATGAATGTGACATACTCTTGTTTCACTCTGTTGCATCATCCCACCCACCAGGCATATAGAGTGCCCTGATTGGCCCACAAAGTGGATAAAGCTCTGTGATTTGTTCACTAAGCAGATAGAGCAGTATGATTGGCCCACCATTATGGACCAATCACAGCTCTTTGTGTTTGATCCCCCTCGAGAGAGCTGTGATTGGCCAGCCAGAGTCCTGGTAGGAGCTGTGGAGGTTCCAATGGAGCGTGCCTAGACCATTCTTTGCAAAGCAAGAATTTGGTCTAGTTCACTAGGCTAAGAAATCTCTGCTGTTATGTATTTTAAAACCAAATATCCACAATAAGCTTTTTTAAATAGTATTTTTGGACAGAGTTTTATATGAATTAGTAAATAATTTAACCTGCAATTTGCTCTTTATCCCTTTTCCACAACATATCTCACCCTCAATAGCCTCTATGAGCCCTTCCAGTCTGGTTTTCGACCTGGCCACAGTACAGAAACTGCACTCATAAAAATCACTAACGACCTCCTCACTGCTGCCGATACTGGACTGCTCTCCATTCTCATCCTCCTCGACTTGAGTTCAGCCTTCGATACCATCTCTCACACCATCCTCCTCCATAGATTGTCTTCCCTTGGCATTTCTCATACCCCGCTTGATTGGTTCCGTTCATATATCTCTGGCCGTACTCAGTTTATTCAACTCAAATCTTTCACTTCCCGTCCCTTCCCTGTCACTACTGGCGTCCCCCAAGGTTCTGTTCTCGGTCCACTCCTTTTCATCACTTACCTTCATCCCCTGGGAAATATTTTCCGTAAATTTGACATCCATTTTCATTGTTACGCGGATGACACCCAGCTCTATGTATCCTCCAAACCCTCCTCTTCACTTCCTTCTTCCTCCCTCACCAATTGTTTATCTGAAATCAAAGACTGGTTCACATCAAACTTTCTCAAACTTAACAGTGATAAAACAGAAATGTTACTTGTCAGCACTAAATCTTTACTATCCACAATCCACAGCTTTACACTTCCTGTCGACAACTCCACAGTTTCCCCCTCCCCTCAGGTCAAGAGTCTGGGTGTCATCCTCGACTCCTCACTATCCTTCCAGTCCCACATAAACAATATTACCCGGTCTGCCTACTTCCATCTACGTAACATTAACCGCCTACGCCCCTCCCTCACTACTCACTCGGTCGCCATCCTTGTCCACAGCCTCATCACTTCCCGTATTGACTACTGCAAC